TACTTTTGAATTTTTTTCTTATACGTTTAATGATAAAATTTTTTTCATTAATGTTAATGTAAAAAAATTAATTTTGCACCAAAAGAATCTTAGAAAAAATTACCTAACCTTATTATAACAAGAGCAATTTATTTTAGCCTAACCCAACAAAATATATTTTAATTACTTTTACAATAATTTAATACTAAACGAACAAATCAAATATATTTTTTTCGTTAGGTTCAGAATGATTTGGCGAAATTTTTGCATACACAAATTTTCACTTGTCCTATATGCAAGATGAGCGTTGCTATTTTAAGCCAAGATCGCAAGTTTGCCTTTTCGCACGACATATATATTTATTTTATTATATATTATATATAATATATATAATATATATATATATATATCTATTATATATATATATTATATTATATATATATATATATATAATATATATTTATATAATATATATTAAAGCAAGTAACAAACTGCACTAGCGGGGAATTGAACCCCCGAAACTTTAACACGCCACCTGAGTAGCCTGCCAAAATTCTGAGATGCCCTAGACCACTTCACTATCAGCGCCACATACATTAGGCGCACAGCACCACTGGACTTATGGCATTGATTGTTAAGTCCTCTAGTGCATCTGGAAATTTTGGCTGGCTAGTCGGTTAGTAAGTAAGTCAGTAAGTTTATTCAAGTATACACAAATACAGTTACATAGAATTATCATACATAGCAGCATATGTGTAGAGAACCTGGGATAACCCAAAAAAGTCAGACAGAGTGACTTATTTCCATTGGGGTCCTTTTACCTTATTATAATATAAAGGTTATAATATTTTCTTATTATTCTATAATGAAAAAACATCTTATTATCATACTAAAAAGACTATCTACTACACGAGGGTCATTAAGACTTTCTACAATACGAGGGTCATTACTAGGAATAAGGTAAAATTTACACGTATGTTAGCTAAAAAATAGAAAATCATTCCCTCCCTTTCTGTAGCTACATTCATCAGACACCTTTGGCACTCTTTCTTGAACTGGTTCATGCTATGACTGGGTTTGACATGTGAGGTAGTCTGTTCCATTCCTTTATTGCTGTACAATAAAAGGTGTTTGAACCCTGACCAATGACGTGGGTACTACAAATTTGTGCTCTCCCCCCCTAGTACTATGATTGCTTTGGTTCCCAACCTTGACAAAATTTACAGCAAGATATTCTGGACACTGTTGTGAGCAATTTTATAAAATGATTTAGTTTCAGTTGTTTTTACTCTGTCTTCAGCATTCGCATATCCAACTGCTGTAATTCATCCTGGCCTACATGTTCTCTTGGTCCCAGCCTCAGGATGAATCTTACGATTGTGTTCTGGGTGATTTGCAGTCTATTTTTCAGTTTTTTTGTCAAGGCAGAGTACCATGAAGAGCAAGCATAATCCATATGGCATTGTATAAGGGCTAGACATAGGGTCCTGCGAGCCTCAGTAGGTAGACACTGTGCTTGTCTATACAGGAACTTCAGTCTGGCATTCGCTTTCTTTACTACAGTGTTCCCTATCAATTCTCCTGACATGCATGGGTCAAAGGGGATTCCCAGATATTTTACTGATGAAACCAAAGTGATAAGGGACTGAGCTTGCTATCACCTGCAGCTCCACGAGCCCCTTTGGGGCAGGCAGATGGCAGACCAGAGGCTTAGCTTCTCCCTACGAGCCCCGTGAGGGCGGGGACTGTGGTTAGGCCTGGGGACAGTTGGTCCCAAAGATGAGGGGGTACTTGCACCTCTCCCATGGGAGACTCAGGTCTCGAGACACTCCCGAGATAGGGAGCCAAGGCCGGGTCACCACTACTTGGAAAAGACCCGGGCCGGGAGAATACCGGCGAATAAAAAAAAAAAAAAAAAAAAAAAGTGATGGGCTCCCCATTACACTGGACATTAAAATTATTTACCCTTCTCAGTTTATGTTTCGTGCCAAAGAGAATGGCTTCAGTTTTCCCTAGGTGTAATGATAGTTTGTTGTCTACTAACCATTTGTTGCAGGACTCCAGTTCCAGTGTTAAAAACATTAGCTATATCTTGTGGGTCTTTACCTGACACTAACAGAGCACTGTCATCTGCATACAGTAGGAGTTTGCACTTGACACTGATGGGCATCTCATTGACATAACATAAGAATAATAAGGGACCCAGAATACTACCTTGGGGGACTCCACATGTTATCGGCAGGGGTTCTGATTCCGTTTTGTTGATTTTGACTATTTGTCCCTGTTGCTAAGGTAGGACTTAAGCCAGTCTACAGAACCTATACCAATAGCTTGAAGTTTCTTACATAATATATTGTGGTTACAGTATCGAAGGCCTTTTGCAGGTCTAAGGTTACCATGCCTTTGAGGTTCCCCTTTGACATTTCGGTTCTCAGGTATTCCATCAGATTAAAGTATCGGGGGTTCGATTCCTGACCAGTGCAGTTTGTTATTAGCTTAAAACTAGTTGTTCGTAGATGCATTAATATGTATACTGCTCGCGTAACTGGTATTGCAAACGGGAAGATAATGAAATTAGTCCTGTAGCTTGCCCTAGCCACGTATGTGCCCTCATCAGGAGTGACATGTCCAGTGCTACTGGGCACCTGATATATGTGACACTCATGCTTAAGTGGTTTAGGGGGTCTCGGAATTTTGGCGGTCTTCTCGGGTAGCGTGTTAAGGTATTGGAGGTTCGATTCCCGACCAGTCCACTTTGTATTACTTCAACATTCTAGTTCTTTCCCATTTTTTTTTTTGTGAACGAAGAACTGATCTTTTATGGTTTCAGTGGTTTGGTTAATGTAGTCTCAAATGTAACTTAAAGCTCAATTTTTGTATTCACATTCAAATAAGTAAAGAATAATAATCAATAATTAAAATTAGTGATGTGATGAAGCTATTTTTAAAGTCTATTTATTTTAGGGATTCAATAGCTGCTCAGCTACATTTTACGATGAAAATTTTCTGAAAAAAGGTTTCATCTTCGTACTAATTAAGAATGTTTTATCTTTGCAGATCATTCTTTTACTAGTTGCCCTGGCTACTGCTTGGAATAAAAAGCTTTTCAGGTTGTTTCCGGGTCCCATCACTTCACGCTATGGCTACGGATTAGGAACTCGAGGCTACGGATACAGAGGCTATGGACCAGTATATGGTGGCTACTCACCAGTATACAAATTAAGACCACTAAACAAATTAGGATTCGGTCTTCCTCATTACATTGGCAAGCGGGAGACTGATTCCATACCCATAGTTAATGAAGAAGAGAAGAAACCCAAGAACCTGTATGCCCTAGGGTATCCATTTTACGGCGGATTTGGCAATGTGCCCTACGGCTATTTTAACAGGGGCTATGACTTTTACTACCCGTCTTTCAACACATACTATCCGTACTACTATGGTAGTAATTACCCCTGGTACAATTACTGATAGTTAGGTGTTAAAGAAACCTAAAACTGCATACATAGTTGACAAGACCTCAAAGTCTGATGGAAAATCATCACTGCTACCAGAAGGTACATGAGGATGAAGGTTATCTTATATGTTTAAATTATTTTATGGCATGAGTTCAGAGTTCCTCATTCAGAGCGCCTTAGTATATGTATAAAAAAATAATGATTAGGTTTCTATATATTTCGAATCTGAATTCATATTTTTTGTTTAATGTAAACAAAACTATTTTTGCTGATCTTCCACAGTCAGTTTTATTTTGATTGAGCTATAATTTTGAATTCAAGACGAAAATCGTTTAAATCGTTATTGTTTGGCAATAACCAATTGGTTATCAATATACCTATATCATTTTCAAGTAGAAGGTTGGTTTTAGACAATTGGATATATAATTACTAGACACTGAGAAAAGAGACTTTTTTTACTCTTTCTATACCGTTTGTAATGTTGAACTTTATCGAGGTTCTGAGTTCCATTTGGGAAGCATTACTATACAGACAGTCGATCCCAGAGCTTGGACAAACTACTCATGACTGTTAATGTCCACACTGTGAGATCGACTGTCGGGGAACTGGCGCTTTCAAGATGGAATCAATTATCTCCATAAATACAAGCTTGGAATAAAAAATATAGATTTTAATGAATTCAGAAATGCTGAATACAGGCGAAAGCAGGATGTATATTAGACTAGTTATCAAACAGAAATCGTAATGAGTGATCAAGGTGATTTTTTTATGTCATATAATACTTAACAATATTGAATGTTCTAATTTAATTTGCCATTTAATTTCTTGTTTGATCTCTGTTAGTGTTTATGCAGCAATTAGAGTTTATCTCTGAATCTTTCTCAATGTACAATAACGGCATTAATAACTTGTACATAACAGAGCCACCTAACGTAATTGCGCGCTTGGCTAGTGGACTTTAATGAAAATTTAAATTGACTTTAATGTTAGATATATTTCGGTCGCTGCGCGATCCGGACACAAGTAATAATGGTAAAAGATAATAAACTTTAATACAGGCAAACAAATATGTGTGTATGTTTGTTTACATTAGTGTATTCGAGTGTTTATATATATATATATTATAATATATTATATATATATATATATATATATTATATATATATATATGCAAGGAATTCGCGAGAGCAGGCTAAATATACACAAACGCTGATCTCTTGCTGAAGAGACTCGAACCTACGAACCGTGGAACACGGTACGCAGTGCTATACCATATAATATATATTATATATATATATATATATATATATATATATATATATATATATATATATATATATATATATGTATATATGTATTTTATATATATATATTATGTATATATATATATATATATATATATATATTATGTATATATATATATATATATATTATATATATATATATATATATATATATATATATATATATATATATAATATATATATATAAATATATATATATATATATATGTGTATATATATATCCATATATTATATATATATTTATATATATATATATATATATATATATATATATATATATATATATATATATATATATTTCCTAGGTAGTAGGTTGGTAGACAACAACCACCCAGGGAGGTACTACCGTCCTGCCAGGTGAGTGTAAAACGAAAGCCTGTAACTGTTTTACATGATGGTAGGATTGCTGGTGTCTTTTGTCTCATAAATATGCAAGATTTCAGGTACGTCTTGCTACTTCTACTTACACTTAGGTAACACTACACATACATGTACAAGCACATATATACACACCCCTCTGGGTTTTCTTCTGTTTTCTTTCTAGTTCTTATTCTTGTTTATTTCCTCTTATTTCCATGGGGAAGTGCAACAGAATTCTTCCTCCGTAAGCCATGCGTGTTGTAAGAGGCGACTAAAATGCCGGGAACAAGGGGCTAGTAACGTCTTCTCCTGTATATATTACTAAATGTAAAAAGAGAAACTTTCGCTTTTCTTTTTGGTCCGGTTTGTTGAAAAAAAAGAATATATATATATATATATATAATATATATATATATATATATATATATATATATATATATATATATATATATATATATATATATATATATATATAAATATATATATAATAATATATATAAAATATATAATATACATATATATAAATATATATATATATAAATATAAATATATATAAATATATATATAAATATATATATATATAATATATATATATATATATATATAATATATATATAAATATAATAAATATATATAAATTATATAAATATTATATATAATATATAATATATTTAATATATATATATAATATATATATATATATAATATATATATAGTCGTCCGAATAGTGCAGAACTTGCATCTTAGCTAAATAGCATACACTATTTGCATATAGGTACAAGTGAAAATATTGTGATATGCAATTAAATTTAAACAAAAATCATTCTAAACCTAACTATGTAAAAAAAATATATTTCACTTGTTTTATAATAGTATATAATTATTGATAAACAAATCTAAAATATATTATAGTTGGTTAGCTATAATAAATTATATATTTTATATATAATTAATGTAAATATTTATTAATATATTATTGATTAAAATTAAAATATTATTTACATTAATATTTAATGATAAAAAAAATATCTTTAAATTTATAAGTAGTAAAACTTTTAGCAAAAGACATAAAATATTTTAATTAACAAATGAAGAAATTCTTCTAAATTTGATACCAATTTTACAAGGACACTATAATATACTCAATAAAGGATAATAGTTATCATAGCATATCCCACTAAAGAATACTTAAATTTGGATCATATATAAAAAATAAACTATGTTAGATATAATATCAAATTCTAATTTTAAATATTTTATCTGCAATAAATCACTGTATAACAGTGTATTTTAAAAATATTCAAAAAAACCATGATGAAAAGATAAATAGAAATTCCAAGCACTTTCTTGACTACTCACATTGTCAAGGAACTATGAAAGTAATACATCAAAGGAAGGCAATTAAAGGGCTTAGATCACACCTCACAGCCAACTCCCACTAAAGGAACCACCTCTGGAACTGTGCTGGGGATCCTCATCCTCAGAGAAAAGGATAAACTTGCTTCAGGAAAAACTCAAGGTTCTCCCTGAAGATGTTTGAATATTGTGTTCTCCTACCACCCCTTGTATTCTATATTCTATGTAGACTTTATTTTAAAGACAGAATACATTCACAAAAATACAATAGGGAGTAGAACAACAAGATAACATCTCAGAGCTATACCTCGAATACTTCGTCCAGCTCCCCGGTGGTGGGCCGCGTGCCCAGAATGCTGCAGGCATTTACCCTCTGGATTGCAACACTGACTCTCTGAAAGAGGAAGCTGGCAGCCTTGTGATCCTTGGTTTCTATGAGGAGCTTTTCACCCAACTCTTCCAGGAACTTTAGAGCACACTTGCCCCATGCTCCAAGGGTCACCGACCCTATTGTGATGAAGTTATAGCAAGGGGTAAGGTCTTCATATTTACAGGTCTTCTGGGTCTCCCTGTGGCTGGCAGCTCTACCCCCTTCAGCTACGGGTTAGCGCAAGTAGGTACCTGCCAATGTGGCGGCACAGGTGTAGTTCTAGGCAATCTGCTTACCAGGCAATCTGGTTGGGGTTCCCGTTGAGCTGGGCAACGGGCTGTGGCGAGGCTTCTCTTTATGATGTCGTAGACCTCCTCATGTCTGGTATACTTCCCTTCTGATGTGTGACACAGGAGTCCATGAAGTCCGAATTGATCAGCCGTCGCCCTGCCGCAAATACACCTATGTTCGGTGAGGATCGGGGCGGCTACACAAAGAGCAACACCAATCCGAGTGGCTTGTGGGTCGAGTCGAGCGCCCAAGGAGGAATTGGGAACAACTAAAAGGAAATCTGTCTTCTGGTATGTCCCTGATGTAGGCCCTTGCTGCATGAACTGCGGCTTCACTGCCTTGAGAGACCCCAAAGCCCTGTTGGTGTGGCTGGAGTAAACTGGCAGCTTCTGGGGGAATGTTTGTTACTGCATAATGAGACTCCAAAAAAAAGAAAGGTTTAATTTCTTCTGGAATCTGCCCAGCCAGGCAGTTGTTGGCGAAGGTTGTTAACTCGGAGAGAAGAACTGATGCATATGTGCCGAGTACTGGATTTACCATCTCTCTGAGCTGTTGTGGTCGAATTCTAGTGTAACCTCCTGCAGATCCTGCAGGAAATGACACTGTCGCCTTCTAGACTTCTGATTCTGGCAAAATTAATTGTTTAGTAATGAGTCTTCCTCAGGGTTGTTGTTGACGACTATGGTGTCCCTTGCTGGGTGTTTGTCTCTTAGTGCTTGGGCTCTGGCCTCATCTTTGGGAGCTAAAGTGTCGTCACTTGTAATTATTCTGATTGCTCTCACTGTGTTACCTTCTACTTTTTTTTGCTAACCTGTACGCAAATTTTCTCGTTTTTTTTTTAAATTTTCTTGGGTTTTCGTCTGTGATTCTTGCGATGATGGGGCAGAGGGACACAATTATCTGTTCTTGGGTAATTGCGCACTGTCTTGATGACTGATGTGGTTAGCAGTTTGCCTCGTCTTTCAGGAACTGCAAGACAGACATTGCTGAACAGTAGTAGGTTGCGCAATGCTTTAATGGTGCCTCGGGCTTCTAAGTTGGTGGAACCTCCATTCACCTGCTTAAGAAGGTCTGTGAATTTCCCTGCTGCATATGGACGAGCCGCTTTAGGAATGTGAGATAGGATATTGCTAGCAGTGGATTTGAATGCCATCAGAAGATCTTCGCAAGTGTGGAGGTTGCCATTGGAATTGTCATCTGCCTGTGGAGGCTGTGGGCTGCTCTCTGCTGGAGGCATATGTGATCCAGCACACCCATGGTGTGCACGAATAAGGCCGCTCCTGTTGCGTGCCCGATGCTCTCAACACACCTGACATGTACCTCTTCATTGCTGGGTGCACTGTTTGTGGCTGGCTAACTGTATCATCTGCCATACCTCAAACTGTGTGGTAAGCCAGGGCTGAAGGGAAAATGGCACATGGCACATACCACAGGGAGGGGTGGAGGAGAGCGGTCTCCCATCCTCATCGTGGGCGGGGAAGAGAAGGAGGTGTGGAGGCGGTGTGATGAGAGATGCGGATGAGGCAGGAGTGGAGGGGTGGTGAGGACCTGGTGAGGCAGGCCTGAGCGGAGTTGCGCACTCACTGCCTCCCACGACACGTCACTATACAACACTATACACTATGCATAGCCTCCACTATAAACGACACACCGCTATGCACTACACATACTGTGCACATGCTAAGGACATACTATGCACTATACACACACGTGAACAAACACTCCATTGTCGAAACGAAATTGCAATGTGTGTGCGCCTGTTCGTGGAAGGGGAAGCGGGGGGAGGAGGGGGAACACTTCTTCAATGGTGCCCACCTCCTCTCACAAACCAATCCTACCCTTAGGTGACCTTTATGTGTCCTCCCTCACTGACTTCATGTACACAACACTCACCATGATTCTGAAGGGAGAAAGGAAATAAACCGAGCTGCAGGTATTCACACATCAGCCTGTTGATGATAATCCTGGCGTTCGTAATTGGAACATATTGTACCAAAACCACAGAGACGGATGCCCACAGCTCTCTGCAGAGCTGCCATATATATATATATATATATATATATATATATATATATATATATATATATATATATATTTATATATATATATATTATATATATATATATTATATATATATATATATATATATATATATATACATGCTGGTTAGCATATACATACGTATAGTTATGTTTGCATGTGCTCGCGAAAATTAATAAATTGTTCATAAAAATATGAGGCAATTTCCAAGTTTTTCTACTGTGGAAGAGAACATAGCATTATAAAAAAAATAATAAATAGTTTAAATTCAAATTAATATTTTATATTTATTGAAGGTTCAGATAAATAATTAATATCTTCTGAGCTA